TTGTTTCAAGTCTTCCTCTAGCTCCAAAGCCTGAAGCTCCAGCCTGGACACCCTGGAGAGCACGTGGACCTTGTGCATTAACATATCCATCAGTCCTGGGGATGACAAGCACAGAATACAACTCCAAAGGAGAGGGAAAATATGTGAAAGAAGGGCAGACAATAAGCAATAAAATACCAGTCCCTGGGCTGTGAAAGGCTGAGGTTGTGTGGTGGGAACCACTTGGAGAGAAGAGCACTTTGGCAGCACCATGTAACCCACAAACCTCATCTCTGAGGAGACACATGCCCAGCAGGAGTGATTAGGCTAATGATTTGGATTAGGTTGGGATCTAATGGGAATCTAATCTGTGGGGAATCGAATCTAATCTAATCTAATCTAATCTAATCTAATCTGTGGGGAAAAGCCCTCGTGCAGTCTCATGTCTGGGCACTGGTGATTTCCCCCAGCAAGTGGATATAAGGACAGTCCTCATCCCCATGGCTGCTGCTCAGGGGCTCTGTTGGCATCCACTAAGGTCTGGAGTTTCTGAGAGGTGAAAACCCAGTAAAATAGCTGAACAGATCATAATGGAATACCCCTTCCATAAAGAGGATCTGCTCTCACCAGAGAAGGGTTTCGACCCAGGATTCCCAGCACCTGAAGGGACATATTATCTCTGCTGTCCTCTCATTTTCCTTGTTTTAGATCCAGTAAATGATGTTTAAAATTTTAAAGTCTGAGTGCCTGAATTAATAAGATCATAGCAGATCACCAGGTCCTCATGAAGAACTGGGGGGGGGGGGGGGGCAGAAGAAGGGGGTGACATGGCCACCTCCTCCTGACAAGATCTGTGTCCCTGGGACATGTGAGGGGAAGCTGTCACCGATGTGGGGAGATTGTGAGAGGAGGCTCTGACCATGGGATGTGATCTCTGGGCCAAGGGCTGCACTCAGGCACGAAGGACGAGGCTGAAGCACAGCCAGCGGTTCCAGCAGCCATCCCCAAATCCTTTGTCCTGGTGCTGCTGTGACAGCACTGCTCCTACTGAGCGGAGGTCGGAGTCCAGGGCTGGGCGGGTGGGAGATGGCTCCTGTCCAGGGTCAGGGCTGGAGGAGTGGGAGGCTGTCCTGGACACTGCAGGGGTGGGGGTTCTTCCTGGGGCTGTGTGGACAGATGGGAAGTGCTGGGAGTGCTGATGTCCCTTATTCCCCTCTGGTTCCCCATCTCTCCCTAGGAGGTGGTGGGAAAGGGAGAAGGCAGCTGCTGGGAGCAGGATCATTCACCATGGAGGAGAACAGCACAACAAACTTCACCCTGAACAACACAATTTATGGATCTCTGGACTGGGAGGAATTTATCACTTCTGAGTGCTTGAGCATTCCCTGCACCCTGATTGCCTTTGCAGGGGTGTGCCTGGGGATTTCTCTCTGTGGGCTGGCAGGGAATGGGGTGGTCATGTGGTTCCTGGGCTTCCACACAAAGCAGAGCCCTTTCACTGTCTACATCCTAAATCTGGCTGTTGCTGACTTCTCCCTGCTCCTCCTGTTTCTCCTGCTTATTTTGGCTTTTCTGACCGTAGCAGCATTTTGCACATCTTTGTTTCCTTTAATCCATCACTATAGGCATTTTGTGTTTGTCCTTGGGTTCCCGTGCCACCTGTTTGACCTGAGCAGCCTGGGGCTGCTGGCAGCCCTGAGCGTGGAGCGCTGCATCTCCGTCCTGTGCCCCATCTGGTACCGCTGCCACCGCCCCCGGCACCTCTCAGGCGTCATCAGCGGGGCCCTCTGGGCCCTCGCCGGGGTTTTGGTTTCCTCCCTCTACCTCACTTTTACTGAAGACTCTGACACTGTCCTTGCAGGTGTAGCCCTTGTGATTTTTCTGATTTTGTCCTTTGTAATGTTGGTTTCCAACCTGTTCCTGTTCCTCAAGCTGCGCTGTGGCTCCCGGAGGCGGCAGCCAGGGAAGCTCTTTGTGGCCATCCTGCTCAATGTCCTGCTGTTCTTTGCCCTTGGTATCCCTTTCTGTGTGGAGGTTTTCCTCAACCTCCCTGATTCTGGTGATTTATTCCCAGAAGACCCCTCTTTTTTGCTGGCATTGCTGAATTGCACCCTCAACCCAGTGATTTATGTGCTGGTTGGGAGCTGCCGGCGGCGCCGCTTCCAGCGCTCCGTCAGAGTGGCTCTGAGGAGAGTGTTTGAGGAGAAAGCTGGGAGTGAGGAGGGGAGCCACGGCCCTGGGGACACTGTGGTGGAGGTAACAGCTCTGTGAGGCACTTCTGGACATGTGGCACCTCAGAGACAGCCAGAAGTATGGGAGCACATGGCGCTGAGATCCATCCTGTTCCTGTATTCCTCATGGAATGACCCTCATTGCCTTAGCCCCAGGGAATAAAATCAGATATAGTGATCTTTTTCATTTTGTTACTACCCCTAAATCAGATTTGGATTTATTCCTTCCATTTCTTTTCCACGTGGTAACTCTGGCCGCAAATTTTGTTGAGTAAATAACAGCTGGTCTTTGCTGTCGAGCTTGTCTCTGGTAAACAGTGTTAAAAAATGTCTCATTTCCTTAATTTTTCCTATTCTAAAGCCTCTGGCTTGTCTGTGAGTAGGGCAGCTACCTGTCTTATACCAAAGCTTTTCCTAAGGCTGGTGCCTACAATGGCTGGAATGAGCCATCTGTTGACACTTCCAACATCTCCTCATTCCTTCAGGGAAAAGCAGAGTGTCTCTGTGTCAGGTTCCTCTTAGTAACCTTAGTCCTGAAATCTTATCTTTTTACGGGCTCAAATTGCCCACTCTCATTCCACAGAGGGATTTTTAGGATCCTGTAAGACAAAACCTATGATTCCTGATTCAAATCTAATTTTCCCATTTATATACCACCTTTTCAGTAGTACTTCACCTTCACCACGCAGTTTCCAAGAGGATTCATGAAAGAATAAATTCTGTGCATGAGCTGGAGCACAGGCATACAGCACAGGGATGATTTAGGTTTTCAGCAATGTCATTTCTTCTGGGAAGAGGTGAATCAATGCTGCTCTCTTGGCTACAACCCTTAGAAAGTTGCAGGTTTCATCTGAGTTATCTTCTACACCCCCCTGGGAGTCAGACAGCAGCCTACAATGAATTTCAAGGAATTTCTGGAAAGTTGAGGTGACATGGTTCCTACCCAGGCTGACATGCCTCAGGGATCTGGGATACTCCTGCTGGAAACTGGCAGTGTGGTGGCCCTGGGACCAGAACTGTCACCTCTCTTCCCTGCTGACACTGCCTTTGTGTCCCCAGCTATGGAATCTCACATCCCCTCACCAGGCTAGTCCTTGCAAGTGCAAAAACTTCATGATCCGTGAGCTAAAGGGGCTTCTGGAGAGTTGGAGAGGAACTTTGCACAAGGGCATGGAGTGACAGGACAAGGGGGAATGGCTTCCCACTGAGAGAGGGTGAGTTCAGATTGGATATTAGGAAGAAATCCTTCCCTGTGAGGGTGCTGAGGACCTGTCACAGGTTGCCCACAGATGCTGCCCCATCTCTGCAAGTGACAAGGTTGGATGGGGTTTGGAGCAGCCTGGCATAGTGGAAGGTGTCCCTGCTGGCAAAGGCACAGTATGGGATCAGGGAAAAACAAGCACAAGAGTTCCCAGGACTGAGGAGGAGCAGGAGCTCTGGTGAAGGGCTGGAAGGGGGTTCACAGCACTCTGGTCTCTAACAGCTTTCATTGCATCATCAAGGGGATTGGCAGTAATTAGGGTGGGCTCTAAGTGCTGATAACCTGGCTGCAAGCAGCTGATTGCTGTCCTTGCCTTGGGCTGTGTGAGCCTGCATTGCAATGATAGAAACGGGAGTCCATGGGCCAGGGGTGCACCCATGAGCCCAGGGGAGGTTTTGGCAATGATTCTGGAGCTCTTCCCAGAATGGGAGTTGTTTCTGACAAGCAGCCAGATACAGCAACAGTACTGTTGGCATTGCTGTGCCACCAGCACCAGCATCATCCCTCTGCTCCTGGAGGGACAAAGACCCCTCAGGGAAGAGAAACAAGGAATGGTATAAACTTGTCAGGAGATGGAAGGCAGTTGGAGAATGGGACACTGATAAGGGAATGTTCTAATCAGAAGGAGTGAGGAGCCATTTGGAAAATTCTTCATGGAGACCTTTAGACAAAAGCCAATTCTTTTGTGACAAAGAAAAAAAATTCCATATAAAGAACTCGGAAGGAATGGAGCTCTGACGTAGCCACAGTTGTAGAAGTGCTGCTGATCTGCACAGACCCCCTTTGCCTGCTGCTGCCCCACAGTGAACAGGTCAGTGCAATGTTTTCCTTCCTCCCTCCCCACGTCCCTCTCCTCCAGCAGCT